GTTCAAAAGACGTTGAAAACACTCCAAAGACATTTAAAAGACCTCTTTTGTATGTCCCATACCAACTGGGTAAAGCATGCGACCGTTAAATTAAAAACGATAAAAAATTGAAAAAAATTAAAAAATAGTTTAACTAATGCAAAAACTACAAAATATATTTATTTTAATCTAAGGAACTTGAAGATTATAAAAGTGCTTTTTACTTTAATATTTTTATTATTTCAAATTAATAAGCAAACATTTACGCTTATCAACGACATCAACTTTTCAATGGGACGGAATTGTGTGCAAATTGGTGGATTCAAATTTTGGTATGAATTTGATGTCACTCTTCTTAGAATAATGACAAGAAGCAATATTAGTCCAGAACCAACTAGGGACATCTTGACTTCAATAAAATTCCAAAAGTCTAGCCTACATGTATTCTTTGATGTAGACATCCAAGTTTAAAATTGACGATGTGACAAAAGCTCGAGATTTCAAACCGCAACTGCATATTGCTTGCCAAATTTTAATCTTTAAAAAACGCTGAAACTTTATATCCTTTGGCTCGCACTCTGTTAGCCGGGGTTTTGCGTGAATGATCGTCGAATACTAATTGCAATTTTCTTACTTTTAAAGCTATTCTTTCATTTCTTTCAGCTCTTGTATTGTTTTATGACAACGCAAACAGTAATTTTGCTAAATTCAGATGCCTTAGCAATTTAAATTAACGATGTAGAAGGACTTTGTAAATAGTTGTGCAGAATTTTTTTTCATTTTTCTAAATGTTTCAATAACATTTTAATTAAGAGAAACAATTTGATTCGTTTGTTGATGTTTTTAATTACTACTTTATGTAATTACGCGAAAAAAATTACGCTCCACGGCTCCGGATCGTCTCCACAAGCCTGCTTTCAACACTCCGAGTGATAAAAAATTCTTTTTCTTTACTAAACAAAACTCTTTTTTTACATAAATAAAAACTCTTTGCATAGATATATATATACAAATAATAACTATTTTCATCTTTTCGAGAGTGTAATTTAAAGTTGATCACGTGTGCGGCCTAGTAATTTTCTTTTTGAGTACAAGGTAAGTTTAAAAAAAATTTTGCGCATGGGATTTAATTCAAAAACACTATGTACAAATGTAACTACAAAAAATAAATTTTCATATTTCTTATTCTTATTTTAATAAATTAAAAAAATTAAATACTTGATGACTATCGACTACTATATGCCGTTAAAAAATTAAATACTTGATGACTATCGACTACTATATGCCGTTAAAAAATTAAATACTTGATGACTATCGACTACTATATGCCGTTAAAAAATTAAATACTTGATGACTATCGACTACTATATGCCGTTAAAAACTCATTTTACTTTTATCATTACTCTCAAATTTCTTTTATATATAATTTTTTCATTTTGAACAATATTTGAAAGGTAAAAAATATCCACTTTCGTAGAAAATTGATATACTGGGCTTAAAAATTACCGTAGGAAAAAAATTAATCAGTTTTAGATTGCTAGGGGTCTCTAGATTACTTTTTTAAAAAGAAATGACCCCAATATAGTTGGTTTTGAGTGGTTTTCCTCACCTCTGGATCACTTATACTTCTTTATTTGTTTTCAACATTTTAATTACATTAAAATGTTTAAAAAAATTATCAATTATGATTATTTTCTATAAAAATTTTCATGTTTAACTTCAACATTTTACAAAGTATTCGAATTCTTTTATTTGGAATTAGCATGATTTTATTAGCGTTTTATGCCCAAACAAGAGCTTTAGACGGTATATATTTTTTTTGCTTTAGGTTTTTTTAATATTTAAAGATATTTTTTAATAATTAAGATTTTAACTTTTCTTTTTTTTTTATATAATTTTCAAAACCATTTTACTACCCCTAATAGCGAATCTAAAGAACACCATGAGTCTTAAGATCACTTTCGCTCATCGGCTTTAACATGAATTTAGTTAAAGTTTTTTGAGAAATTTCCTTAATTCACAATTGATCCTAGTTCTAATCGGTTCTGACGTATATTAATTATATATAGTTATCTAAATAAAATATTTCTATTAAATTTCACAAAAAATGCTAGGTTTCAGACCAAGAAAAAGGTTATAATTAAGAAAAATTGCCAATAAACGATCAGAACAAATCTTAAAATTAAACTATAATGTTCATTTTACCTAAACAACGTATTTATTTAAAATCTTATTCAAATTTAGACGAGCGATTGTGATTTTAAAAAAATTAAAAAAAAAACAAACTCTTCGGTCTAGGTTTTTTCGCTGCAAACATTTACATTTTGTGATACCGCAAAATTTATCATTTTAATTTTTTTCGTCTTTTCATAATTCACAGACCAGATAGGAAATGTCGTTGTCAACAAAATATCATACAGACGCTATAATATTTTAAAATTGCCTCAACTACACCGAGCGGTATCCATTTTAGTGAAAATATTTGTAAAGTGCATTTCGCTTTTGTCATATAAAGTTTGTGAAAGACTATGTAGCTTTTTTTGACAAATGCCGCATGGCATTTCCCAAAAAAAATCTTACGATTTTATTTTTTTAGTAATTTTTAACATTACAAAAGTATATATGTTTGTATATATATAATATGTACTATATAAAGTTCGTTTCATTTCTTTTGACATACTAAAGATAATCTTGATAAGTTGATAAACTATTTTCTAAAGAAAAAAACAACTGTCTAAAACCATATTACCATATGTCTATTACCATATAAACTAAAGCCTAAAGAGTGTTTTACGTGCTAATACTCTCAATTTATGCATAGATTTGATAGATAGATAGAAAATAGATAGATTTATAGAGTATTTAAATAACAAATACGTATAATATAATACACTAAACATAATATACAAGACATAATTTAGTTTAAGAGTTTTAAACATGTTGTGATTAGCAAATTCGAAACATTGATCAGCAAACTTAACTGCATTGCAATTTTGTTTAAGAAAATAACAAGGTGGTGTTTAATATTATTTTACCTTTGCATCCCATTGAAAGATTGCTGTTGAAATTAATTTTTACATAAATATAGTAAAAAATAAAAAAAATGTCAATTACATATAAATAGATTAATTACATATAATTAGATCAATTACATACAAATAGATCAATTACATATAAATAGATTAATTACATATAAATAGATAGTATGTCAATTACATATAAATAGATAGTATGTCAATTACATATAAATAGATAGTATGTCTATTACATAGCAATAGATAGTACGTCAATTACATATAAATAGATAGTATGTCAATTACAAATAAATAAATAGTATGTCTATTACGTATAAATAGATAGTATGTCAATTACAAATAAATAGATAGTATGTCAATTTCAAATAAATAGATAGTAAGTCTATTACATATATATAGATAATACCGCGCAATAAAATTTTTTGAAGTAACCAAGACCTAAACTACATCTGACTAGTGTAAGAAAGAGGGTAATATTTCTGAAAACCTTATAGTAGCAAAAGTTAAACCTTTATTTAAATCAAGTGATAAACTTGATGTTGGAAATTATAGACCAATATAAATTGAGCTAATTATGTCCCATAGATTATATGCTTTTTTGAAAGATATTTTAACTAATTTTGATTAAAACAGATTTCAGAAAAAGACTAATTTTGTTTTTATTTTTCGGCTGATCACCTAAGTAGACGAGAACGAGGATAAGTGAGAAACTAAAAAAATACTTTCAGAAAAATTTCAACGTTTTTTTATATAATGTATGTACTAAAACAAACAATTTTTAACAAATAAAGCATCATTTTGGGCACCTATTCCATTTCCTAAGATTGACAGTAAGTTATAACAAAGTAAATTATAATAATGTTTTTTGATTTTAGAAAAACCGTATCATTGGAGTAAAGTGGAAAAAGAGAGTGGGAGAAGTTGGACATTTAGTGGAACTTTATAAAAATGACTCTAAAACAAATTAAAGATGAATTTGAGCAAACTTATGATTTTAAAGATATGTTTAAATAAAAACAAAAAAATTTTTCAATCAAAATTATATATCTAGTACAAATGACTTTCTTTGTTTAAAAAAAAATATTTCCTGTTTAAAGTGTCAAAATTAATATGAAAAATGGTTACAGCTTATGTGATCAATATTTTTCTAGAAAGTTAATATGAAAAATGGTTACAGCTTATGTGACCAATATTTTTCCAGAAAGTTAATATAAAAAATGGTTACTTATGATACATTTTCAGAGATTCTGTGGGTTTATTAAAGAATAAGGTAAAATAAACCTGAATGAATTAAAGGAACCTATGTTTTTTACGACAAAACCCCTTTTTCTATATAATAACTTACTTAAAATTAAAAAATAAGACAATTGCGTCAAAAAAACAGGTTTCCTTTGACAAAATATATAAACAAAAAATGCGCAACAAACATCAAAAATATATACTTAGATGAGTTACTTGGGTGTGAGCAAAATGTACTTTTTAAAGATACTTTCAAAAAAAGTATTTCTAGCACACGCCGGGAGACAAAACAATGTCACCTAAAAAGAGTGCAAAAAAGCTATTACTATTAACTAGAACTATTGGGCTGTCCCATTTTTTCCCGCTCTCCCCTAGACATACGCAAGTCATTCCCACTCTCCTCTAAACATACGCAATTCATTCCCACTTTAAACATACGTAATTCATAGACTATGTAATAAATAATTTAAAAAATCATATCTGATTTCTTTCGAAGTTCTTTGAGGATTCTTTGTTCTCTGCTTTTTTTATATATGCAAATGATCTCTCAAATATATCAACAATAACTGTTGGCAGTGAAATATTATAAAAGTATTTTATATCATTCGCGGAATTTACTAAATAAACATCATCTAAAACAAATCAACTTTAGTTTTATACAACGTTATTACGCGAGTTTAAGTTAATTACGCCATTATGGCTCTACTAGAGTAATACAAATTAAACAACGCTGATTAATAATAATCATTATAAAAACCGGTAAATTAACAATTTTTCAAAACTTTTACATTAAGCTACATATTTACATTGTGATAGGAAAAACGTTCTCAGGAGATTGGTAAGAAGACTGTTAAGTCTGAGTGATCCTTACTTGACTATGACCATAGAATAACTATTTATACATAAATTTATCTTTCTTTAATTCGTTGACACTAACGACTATCAACCAAGCAAATTATATACTAGAAATTAAATTTTTCTAAATTTTTAAAGTTAAGCGTTTGTAAAAAAAACTTTTCAGAATAACGACTTGCAAGTAACCACTAACTACAATGCTTACACAAAGGAAAGAGGAAAAATTTGTCACGTAAGATTTATTATCTTCTTGTAAATTCAGATGAAGACTTGTTTTATATTTATGCACGTTAATAAAATCATACATACGATCTAAGTTTATTGAAATGAGCACTGCTTTCTCCTAAATATAAATACGTTTAAATAAAAGAAAAAAGTAATTAGAAAAATTTGGTTTAAAAATAAAACATGTAAAAATTAGAAAACAAAAAAAAAAAAAAAAAAAAAACGCAAAACCTGTAAAAATGTTTCCGTTGAATTATCTTTGACAGGTTCATAACTTCGTAATTTGTTCATATCAGGAGCGTTCATGATGTAAGAATCTTGTTCTTCTTTTTTTACAACACGTGGAATAATCATTATTGACGGTTTATTCTGCTTCATAATACTTTCAGCTAAACGGCGTTTATCTAGCATTATCCTTTGTTGCAATTGACCTTAAAATACAACAACAACAAAAAAATCATTTATATAGAAAAAACAAAAGCACACAAAAATCTAAATATGCAGTTTACCTTTGTATCTTTTTTCGTATTTTGCTGTATTTTTGTTTTTTTTTAGGTATATTAGTTTATATAAACATATGGAACATAGTATAAGCAATTCTCCACACAAAATATAACAAACAATTAAAAAATAAAAAAATAAACATCAATCTAATATTTAAAATATGGTAATCCTTAATCCCGTACAAGGTGTCAAAAAAACGCGTAGAAGACGTCCAAACGAATAAAAGACGTTATTTAGACGTCTTAAAAACGTTGTGTGTTTACTGGGATTTAATACATAATACTCTAAATCTATGTCTGGTGGTAGGAAGAATTATAACACCTTAACACAATTAAAAATGTATTCCAATAACTTGAGATGCATAATAGATTTTAAAATGAAGAATTTACCTTTAAGTGAATTGTCTAAGTGTGCATCGTAATTTATTCCAACAATAGCATTTCTACTATAACCATACGTATTGTTAAAACATAGCGCGTATGCACCAGGTATGTGAACATTTTCGTCAAGAGTTAATGAAGACATTTCCTCGTTTATCAAAATAATTTCATTATGTGGAGAAAATAGTGTAAACAAAACCTTTGGAGCCCCATATAACAACTAAAAATATAACAACTAAAAATATAACAACTAAAAATATAGCAACTAAAAATATAATAACTAAAAATGTAACAGCTAAAAATAAATCAAAGATTAAACTTATTTCTCTACCTGTATAACAATATTCATTCTATCTCCAATAAATTTTTCCATGTACAAACAATCATGTTTTCCATCTTGAATTTCCAAATTGAGGTGAGAGCCGATACAGATGTTGCAAATTGTTGCAAAAATTAAACAAAAAAATGAATGCATTGAATATCGACACAAGAAACAACCTAAGCTGTTAAGTAAACGATAATAAAAATATATAGCTGACAATTTTTTGGATTTAAAATAATAAATGTAAAAACACACAAAATGTAATACTAACACCATCACATAAAAATTAATAATGATAATAATGTATATATGTATAATTTTTTAATTACTATTATAATCAAAAAATTATAATAGTAATTAAAAAAAAAACAATTTACATGACCAGGGCTAGAAGGCAAACTTAGTCTTATCACCAAGCCCAAGAATAACAATAACAATAGAATACCAACAGCATTAACAATATTTATCTTAAAATATATAAAAAGTTAATATATGGTATAAAATATTTCTTTCAAACCTCAAGCTTTAGAAAAAAAAGTTTAAATTAGTACTTTTTTTTAAATTATTATGCAACAAATCCACAGTGCGTGACAAATCTTTTTAAATGTAATTGACTTCATTAAAATTTTTAAATTAAAATGATCTAAAAAGTCTCAAATCAATACAACAAAAAAAAAAATATTTTCCTAATTTGACTCATTCATTTATGTATTTTATTAATTGATGCTCCTATTTTAAATCGGAACTTATGACACGTGATATAAATTTTAAAACGCAGTGTGTTCAGATGAACTAGAGTTTTGCGAATTAAGATAACATTGTTTCATTAAAATCATTATTACATTAAAGTTTTATTACTTAAAAGTTTTTTTTATTAAAAAGTTGTTTTATTAAAATGCTTATTTTATTAAAAACGTTGTGTTATTAAAAAATTGTTTACAACTTGTGAATTGAAAACCTTAGTTACTAAATTATTTTTTTTATTAATTTCATGAGGCAATAACTGTGGAAATAATTTTTTTCAGATGTGGGGTTTGAACGATGGATCTTTTATTTCTGAGGCAAGTGTGCTACCACTACCCCACGGCTGCTTGTAATTTACGCTCCACCTCCAAATAAGAGTTTGGCTTCCTATATCGACTACATAAAATTAAATTTAAAACATACGTTTCTGATTCCGGCTACAATAAGCACACCTTGGTAACATCCCTAATATATAAATGCATAAAACTAAAATTCGAGTTTAACATTCTTAATTTTAGAATTCAAATTTTAAAAAATTATGACTTTGAAAATTTAATTAATTGTTTCTATCAAAAGCAAAAACATAATTTGTAAAAGAATAATTCGTTAACATAATTAGTTAACATGTAAAATACAACATTTAAATTATTATTAAACTGACCTAATATGTTTCATATACTTTCATATTATGATTATTTATTTTAACATTATAGACTATTGCTACTATTAGAAGTTTCTTCTTTACAGTTATGATTTAATTTATTTTGAACACTTAGTAATTTTTATAGCTTTTTTAAATTGTATGTGTGTGTGTGTACACACACACACACACACACACAATTTAAAAAAGCAAGTGAATCAGCTTAAGTCTGGATTTAAACTCTTTGACTGATGTAGACTCCACTACCGATTCCGGTAAATTATTCCATCCAAAGGCAACCCTGTTTGTAAAGAAGTGTTATCTACTTAAACAATTAATCTCTAATATTGGATGCTGGACCTGGTGTATTGATTGAATCCATTTGTATCTGGACTTTCTTCATATCAACAGATTCAAAACCTTTATATAATTTATATTGTTGTATAAGGTCACCTCTTAATCTTCGAACTTCTAAAGTTATTAAATCTAATATTTTTAGTCTTTGATTATATCTCAGATGTCTTAACTCTGGTATTAATTTAGTTGCTCTTCTTCGAACTTTTTCAAGTTCTTTGATATCTTTTTTATAATAGGGATTCCAAGCTTGAATCGCAAACTCTAAATGAGGTCTAACATACGTGCAATAAAGCATTTTCATGAGGTACTTTTTTATATCTAAAAGTGTTATTTAATATTGCAAGCATATTGTTTGCTTTACTGGCAGCATTTCTTACTTGTCTTTCCCATTTCAAATCCTTGGATATATAAATACCTAAATCTTTTTCAAGAGTAGATTTTTCAATTTCTTTTAGTTCTTTTAGTTTTCATGAAATGAGAATATCACACGTGACGATCAAAGTTATTATTACTCTTTAAATATATTTAAAAAATAATAATAACTTTGATCTATCTTTTTCTAAAGATGAAAAAAATAAACCAACGTCACATTATTTCCCCAAAAAGTTATAGCCTGACTGTTACTGACTGTTACTGATATTCGTCAGATAGAAAGTGTTTTTATGCATTAATATTTAAAAGAAAATCATTTAAATTTTCTATTAGTTTCATTATTGGAAAAATTACTAAATTTTAAATACATAATATCACCCAAAGTTTCATTTTCATTTTTTTTTTAAATTATATTCAAAACTCAAAAAATGCTTATACTCTCTTTTTTATAAAATGAGGTTTAAAAAGTATGACCACGTAGCGTAGCGTCTCTCTAAATAATAATGTTATTTATTGTCTTACAAAATAAGGTTTAAAAAGTATGACCACGTAGCGTAGTGTCTCTCTAAATAATAATGTTATCGTCTTATAACAGTTAACTTTTTAATTTTACTCACTAAAAAAAAAAAATTAGTTAAAAAAGTGAAACTTTTAGAAACATATAACTTTTTTTATCCAACGCGGCGGAAAATTAACAATTATATACCCCGAAGCATTTATATTTTTTACATTTGCATGACTTTGGATTTAAGACCTAACAATAAACATTAATTTCTTGTTGCAAGTTTTTTTATGTTTGCATATGTTGCTTTAAATCAAATCTAGTTTTTCATTCTTTTTTCCTCGTTAATTTAAAACTTTTTATTTGACCTCAACAATCTTGTCAAAAAGTAATTTTTTAAAAAGTTCAGATTTCATTAGATCAGATGCTTTTTGATCACATTCTGTACAAAGTTTTAAAGATCTATAACTCTTTCTGTTTTTTACTTTCTGATAACCTAAGAAAACAAATCCAGCATAATGTTTATTTACCATAACACATTAGATTTATTAGGGCAACCAAATATTTTTAAACAGAAAAAAACATCTTTTAATTGAAGAACAAATTTAATTAAATAAAACTTTGTTGAAACTATTTTAAAATAATACTTATTAAATGAAAAATAATGTTCTTAATATAAAATTAATTCCTACAATTAATATATAATAACTAATAATAATAACACCAACATTTTTTAAATCACTATGTTGATACTACATTTTAATCTTCATTCTATGTTAGATATACAGTAGAATCCCGTTAAATCGAACCCTGGATAAGTCGGACTTTGACTAAGTCGGACAAATTTTCAATTCCTTTTGAATTCTCTATACATACCAAAAGCTTCGCTTAACTCGGACATTCGCTAAGTCAGACAAAATGTATACACCCGTTCATATTATGAAATAAACTTGAGCAGAGGTGGGGTTTGATCCACCGATACATTGTTTCTGATGCAAGTGCGTTAGTTGTAATGAACTGATGTAAGTGCACCACAGCTGCAGCATTTACTCAGATCTAAGTTAATACTGACATTTCTTTAAATAAAAACTATAGGGAAGTATAAACCCATAGACGGGGGTTTATTCATACACTGCTTGAGTACTATCTATGTATGAAGGTAGTCTATTACAGAAAAAAAGTCTGTTTAAAAAAATTTCCTTTTTTTTTATTTCATCTGCATAATATATTTTACTGAACAAACCAAAATCCGTAGTAGTGTATATATAGTATACACGCATAAATAACGTTCAGTTAAAATTTAAATTAATCAGAATAGTAGTAAAAACAATAAAAATTAAGAACGGATTTATCTTACAATAATAACAATAAAACAAACAAATAACGTATTTATAATTTGACAATAAACGCATTATTTTTGTATAATCTTTTTATGTTAATGAAAGGTATCTTATTGTCGTACTTTTTCGTTCTTACACAAAGCAACTTAATAAAATATTATTCGTAGACTAAAAAAATTTGTTCACGAATGACCTATTCAGAAAACTATGTTATTATTTCAATTGTACAACTAAAGCGGTAATAACGTTGAATATTGAGATAATGTTACGTTTTTTTTTTATATTGGGACTTTTTGGTCAGAGCATTGGAAAATATTTAAACATGGAAGTAATGGCCGGAAAAAAAGAATGCTTATATCTCTATAAGAAATATGGTGATTGGCTTACAATTGAAATTAGGGTAAAAAAAACTTTTTTAAGTAAAAAAACTATAATATGTATGTATATGTATGTATATATATATATAATATATATATATATATATATATATATATATATATATATATATATATATATATATATATATATATATATATATATATATATATATATAAATTAGTAGAAAATCACATCACAAAATATTTTTTCATTTAACACTGTGTTTCATCAATAGAGGCTCATCAGAAATCTGAGATTTCTGTTTCATCAATATATATATATAAATATATATATATATATATATATATATATATATATATATATATATATATATATATATATATATATGTATATATATATGTATATATATGTATGTATATATATATATATATATATATATATATATATATATATATATATATATAAATATATATATATATATATATATATATATATATATATATATATATATATATATATATATATATATATATATATATATATATATATATATATATATATATATATATATATATATATAAAAGAAATTAAAAATATGTATATTTACTTGAAAATCATATAAGGTTTTGATAGATAGAAATAATATCATATATAACTTTTTAATTATACATAATTTACATTGGTATTATGATGTTCAAAAACTTTACACAGATGAGTTTTTTTTGAATGTGATTAATTATAAGTGAAACATTTTCACTTTGAAACACACACACACAGGCAAATATAAATTTTTAATACATTTTTAAATTTATTTTTAAAGAGTAATGATGACTTTGATCTATCTTTTTCTGGACCAAATGAAAGTCATATTCTTACAAAGCAAAGAGTAAGAAACCATAAAGCTATACGACAAACTAACTCAGACGGAGATTATGGATTCTGTTTTTACAACAGCTATAATTTTCACTCTTCAATTTCTGTCTATTTCGATTATGATTATGAAATTGACTCTTCTGGAAATTTATTATCACATGAAGAAAAAACATTGAGAAAAATAACAAGTGAAAAAGAAAAAATACTAACATTAGTCATGGAAAAAATTGGCATTCGTAATAATTCGATGAATCAACAGATATTTCTCGATTCACTGAAAATGGAAACTGAAAACATCATAGAAAATAAAAATAACATTTCGAGTTATATAGAGGTAAATAATATAAAGCTTAAATTTTTAGTTTTTAATGTTTTAAAATTTGTTTTTGTAAAAGGGAATAAAAGATTTTTTAGTAAATATAATGATAAAGATGTTTAAAACCGTGGTGTTTAAAAAAATATGTTTTCCTGAAAAATTATTTCAAACTATATTTAAACTTTCGTTAATTTGTATATGTTTTGGTGACTTGGTTAGTCTCGAAAATGCAACCCTGGAATATTATGGAGAGTTGAACTTTTACTGTGAAAACAATAAAAAGCATGAACACTACTCATGTAACACGGTGTTAATTACAGTGTGTTACATTGATAGTGTTCTTTGCTTTACCGTAAAAGCTCTACACTTTCATTAGTTTCGGAATGACGTTAAAAAAAGTGTAACTGAGAAAAATATTTTAACGGGAATATTATTATAATTAAGAATTTTTACTAGAATATTATTATAATTAAATGTTTTTACAGAAATTTAGTCGAAAAATAACTTTTATAAAACAACATCTTGATTAACAAATTAAGGCAGGCGCAAAAAAACTTGGACTTGCGAGCGTAAATAATCAAAAAACACATAGAAATAAAAAAACACCGTACAACATTGACGTATATACATATGACAAATAACATTATAAAAATATTTGAAAGCATCATCTGGTATTAGATGGTTATCTCAATGTTTCTAATGTTTAAAGATTCAATAAAAAATCCTAAAATTTGTTAGGATTGAAAAGTTAACACAATTTTTTTTTTAAGAAATCATGTTGATTACGGGTGAAATATGAAATTATATTGATATTATATATAGATTTGTTTGTTTTAAAGATTTCAACTATTCAGTGATATTTAAAAAATGAAGCTAAGGAATTACATAGTAAAAAAGGAAATAATTTTAAATTTAAATCATCCTAGATTCTATTTTCACAACAATGTTTATCATCCTAGATTCTATTTTCATAATGATGTTTGTTATCCTAGATTCTATTTTTATAAAAAAATGTTTATTTTCCTAGATTTTATTTTCATAATGTTTATCATCCTAGATTCTTTTTTCGTAATAATGTTTATTATCCTAGATTCTATTTTCATAATAATGTTTATCATCCTAGATTATATTTTTCATAATAATGTTTATAAAACCTGAATTTTCATTTAAGTGGTTTATTTTTAATCTTTATTAACGCCCTTAGCAACAACATTTCCTTATATCATAAACCCCATAAAAGTGTTTTCATATTTTAAATTATAAATAAATATTAATCGTAGTTTATATTGTAAATAAATATTAACCGTAGTTAGTATAAAGTGTATGTTGATTTTCATAAAGTCTAAATTCTATTTTTAGATTGATGCATAAATATTGCATTTTTTTTAGCTCCATTATTATATAAATACTGTATAAGAAAAAAATTCTGACTTCAAAAAAATATGCAAATACTGAAAAATAAAAAAAAATGTGTAATATACAGAGGTGGAAAGTAACGAATTATTTTTTTATAATTGACTTTAATAATTAACTCACGTTACTGTAATTGAGTAGTTATTTTGTGAATTTCTACTTCTTAAGTATTTTTTTAAATGTGTTCTTTTACTTAAGTATTTTTTTCTAAAGTATTGTATTTCGCTACATTTGAAATCATATGCGTTACTGTGTAAAAATATTTATTATGTATTGTTTAATTTCACAAATACTATGATTTAATTTTTTTTTAGTTAATAAAAAATAGCGCCTGTTTTAAAACTTTGTTCCTTATAGTTTTCATTAATGTTTTAAATGAAATTATGAAGACATCTAAAACGTGCACCGCTGGCGTTTCAAATTTATAATCGATTATTTTACTAAGTTTACTCATGGCCTACTATATTCATATAGTAGGCCATGGCTTACATTTATACATCAAAATACGTGCAAAATGTAAACATGGTAAAGTACAAATACTATAAAAAACATGAAAACAAGAAGTTGTTATTTTCAATTTATCATATAGCTATAGTTATTTATATAGCTATGCCTTATTTTAGCGCGATTGAAGAAATGCTTTAACCGATGAAATGAATATTATGTTAATAAACGCACACTTAAAAATATCAGTTAAATATAATATTTCTAAATATATATATAGTCTTCTTTTTTTATTTTTTTGAGTTTTGGTCACTTTAATAAAGATGACACTTTTAAATTGTTTAAAAAAAATTGTTAAGCGCGCTCATAACAAATTTTAACTGCTTTAGCTTGGTTTCGTTTCACTTTTTAACCAAACATCAATTTTTTAATAAAAAAAGTTGTTTTCTATCGAATTGAAGTAACGAGTAAAGAAATAATCGTGTTGGACAAATCACATGCAAACTCAGCTGAATTGGAATTTCAACCAACTTTTTTTGAAGCAAACCCGTGGCCATATTTAAGCGACCACTTTGACATCAAATGCAAGAAAGGCGACAGCTTTATCATGCAGTATAAACTGTGTTTGCCCAAGTTGACTGAAATAGCAGCATATAAAAACTCTACCTCAAACCTCTGCAAGCATGTTGAGGTAATTTAATATTAATTGTTTACTTTTATAATATTTTAAGACTTTTAACACCGAATAGTATTTAGTGTTAAAAGATTTCACTCAAACATTTAGAATTTAGCATGTTAAATGAATATGACATTGGTTAAAATGATTACAAATATTTTTTTACAGAGAAAACATTCATCTATTGATGAAGTGACTTTGTCACAACAAGGAAGCGAAACCTGAAACCACAAGAAATTCCAGCAAAGCAAGGAAAAAGAAGTGACGTGTTTGCTATGGGTGCAAACAAACGTTTGTCACAGAAAAAGGTTGAGAAGCTCATGATCAAATTAATTTGTGACGGTCTTCATCTATTTTCTTTGGTTGAACAACCTGCTTTTAAAAAACTTTTACACGCACTAAATCCGTATTGCAAAGTTATTTCCAGACCGTCTCTTTGAATCAGAATCAATGATGCTGCCATTCAGTTAAAGAAGACTTTGTTCTAAATCCTCAGCAAAGTTTCATAGGGGTGACAGCTCATTAGATTGATGAGAAAAACTTGGAAAAGAGATCCGTTGTACATGCTTGCCAGAGATTGAGGGGATCACACATCTTTGATGTCCTGGCAGGCGCTCTTAATAACGTTCATTGTAAATACAGAATAAGGGGAAAAGTGGTGAGAACCGCAACAGACAGCGGCTCAAACTTTATTAAAGTATTTAGTGTTTTTGGTAAGAAAAGCCAAAATCAGGAAGCAGAGTCGGAATGAGAACAAGATTCTTTCAAACCTTGACACGTTTTACATCCTGGAAAAGGACAGCGGTCTTGAATACCAGCTTCCTCTACATCAAACGTGTGCATTCCACTTGTTAAATTTAATCGCCACAAATGATGCTGTCTCGGAAGAAAAAAACAATAACACATACAAAAGACTATCACGAGCTGCGTTTGGGAAATGCCAAGCAATGTGGAACAAGACAGGTCGGTCATAATTGGCAGCAGAAACTATTTGCAAGCTCAACCAGGCCAAATTATACTAGGTGGAACTCAACATACATTGCAGTGGGGAGAGTCTTAGAGATCGTATATAAAAAAGGCCCCGATGCTATCAGAAATGTGTGTGAAGAATTCAAAGTAAAATTGTGAGTTTTTTATATATAATTAAATCTGTGTAATCAAATAAGTATAAAATAATACTGTTTGAAATAATTACTCGAAGTTCCTCTTCCCATATTTTTTAAATAGCAGCCGTGGCGCAGTGGTAGCGCACTTGCCTCAGAAACGTAAGATTGTGACGGAATATTGCGCTTGTATGAAACCTGTTGTTAAAACAATAGACATTCTTCAGTCTGAGACCAACACACACATGGGATGGCTCCTGCCAGTAATCTTTCAGTTACAAACAGAGTTCAGCTGCCTTGACATCCTCCAAAATGTGTCTGCCTCTTATTAAATTAATTCAGGATGGTCGTTTTGGTAGAATGATGCAAGACCCAAAACTGGTTGCTGCAGCAACTCTTCTGCCAAAGTTTAAGAACATCTGGACTGATAGGACTGAAGTTATAGGAGCAGGTATAATTTCTTTATGTGATAGTGTAATCTGTTTTGCCTAATTTTTTTAATATTTTATCATCCATTGTTGTTCAAGTATAGTAAAATAAGTCTTTGTGTTGCTAAATATATAATATGTATTGTTTTGTTTTTAAACAGGTCTGGTCTATGTGGACAACACATTGACCAGACGGCCGAAATGGAGCAGGTTGGGTAACATTCATCAGATGAAGAAGATTTCTTCTCATCAATGAAATAGAGAAGATCGCAAGGTACAGGGGAAGGTGATCGGTACCTTGCTTGCAGTTCAAAAAAAATAGATTTGTTGAATACATTTCCACGCATCAAAAACCTTTCTCTTAAACTGAACAATGGTATTCCTGTCTCTGCTGCCTGTGAACGTCTATTCAGCGGTACTGGACTTATTCACTGCAAAGCGGGTAAGAATAAAATCGGCCAACTTTGAAAATCAACTGCTTCTCAAACTTAACAAAAAGTTTATAGTTTAAATTTATGCAGAAAAGAATAGGCTACGCTATTTTTATTTTTTTATTCGACAGCTTTGTTATCTGACAGGCTGTTAAAAAAGTTTTACTCTGAGTTCATTTTTAATTAGCTTTTTTTTACTTTTAGAAAGGTAACTTTTTTGACCGGTAACTTTTACTTGTATATGAGTAAAATTTCACTCAAATAATAGTACTTTTACTTGAGTACAATTTTTTTTTTTTAATTTTTCACCTCTGGTAATATATGATAGGTATGTAATAAATATTATATAACATAAAAATATATAAATACTGAATATTAAATAAATCTGAATTCAAAAAACACAATGATTATGCATCAACCTAATATTGAAAACCAAATATGATAACTAGCAAGCTTGCTGCTTTGGAGTATTTTAAAAACCAATTTTAATTGTAATCATTGTTCTATGAGCCTTTTAAAAAGAAATGAGAAAAGTAAATCATCTGTTTAAAAGTATTAGAGGCAACTAACAAATTCTTCTCCAGAAACAGTGGAGTCATATCTGGCAGAAATAAAAATATTAACACAAGCACAGAGTCATGGTCGTATCCGTTACTAATGAACTCGTCATCACTGAAAAATCAGTCGTACCCGTATAATGAATCTAATAGCGGATACGACTGTATAATTTTATAATAATACTATGAAGTATTATTATGAAATTCTTCATATAATACTTTAAATACTTTAAAATTCAGAAAAAAAAGTTGCAGTTTCATCTATCATAAAAATTTAGATTCATCTATCATAAAAATAACTGAAGATGTAAATAACCTACGTTATTATGCTTTATGTAATGCTTACATATTTAGAACATCTATTGGTTTGGTTGGAAAATTCCCCATATGTAAATTAACTATTTAACTTGCTAATATTATTGAATCGAAATGTGGGTCTCATAGAAAGGAAAGTTGCCAAGAGATAGCAAGAAGTTATAGCAATTGAAAAAAATTATGAGCCTACAAAGCTTATTATGAAATGTGCATTTGACAATTTGCAAACAACAATGACAATACACGGTACAAATTAACCGTTAAAATATTGTCCTAGGGAGAATAACGGTGTAAACCATTAGATAAACTAATGAATTATAATTTAATCGTTTTGGTATAGACTTTACTTAACGTTTACTTGATCTGTTTTTTAATGATAAGAAATATTTTTTTGATACAGTTGTACCAGCTGTTTTGTTATTTAATAATTTGGACTTTTGAGTTTGGTCAGTAAAAAACCTGAACAATCTTGAAGGAATTTTTACAACGCCCTATGTGAATAAGATAAAACCTGTGTTAAGAAAATAAACGTTTAGGAAATTTAAAGAACTTTAAAGAAACAAGGAAAGTCTAAAACAATAATAATAATAATAAAATAAAGGTTTTAACAACAAAAACAAGGACAATAAAGGAGAGGTTGATGGATGGTATAGAGGTTGATGGATTGTATAGAGGTTGATGGATGGTATAGAGGTTGATGGATGGTATAGAGGTTTATTGATAATAGAATTTTAAATAAGACTGTACTAGTATTTTTTGATTTTGATTTTTTTAAATATTTTTCCACTTAACGTGAACAAGAAAGAAAAAGAAGGAAAAAATTCGAAACTTGAAAATTTTTAATTATACAAATATTTACAAACTTATTTATTACTTCAACTTAGTATATTTTAAAAATTAATTAGCTTACTATTTATTTTTTTCATAGTTTTGAGCAGCCGTAGTGTGGTGCTCTGTGATAAAAATTAAAAAATAAAAAGTTAAGCCAACTTAAATGTCTTTTTAAATAAAAATTTTCGGAGCCCCTTCTATACTTTCCCTCTTCTATACAAGTAAACTTTTAAATGTCTTTATATTTAGATGTTTATATTATAATATAAAGGTTGATGTTAATTTAAATTTTAATGTTCTCGTAGTTTTTTAAGTATTGAAAACACTACAACTTTGAACTTTGCTTTATTTATAGAGAACATTTACATTGTTATCTCTTCATGCAGATCAAATGGAAACTCATTTGAAATATTACAAAAGTAGAAGAATTCGACATTTTCATCTTCAAGAAGCTAATAATTTTAATGTAATGTTGTTCTCTATCATAATATGCTTTATGATTATAATTTCCGGGTTGGTACAGGTAGTGGTAATCAAAAGTATTTTTGGAATTTCTATAGTTACGTGGAAATTTTGGCGTTATTAAAAATAGTATAAAAAATGATTTTTAAACTGTTATATATTTCAAAAGAAAATTTTAACTTAGTTCTCAAAACATATTATTTATTAAGCCAATTATTGTTCAATTAGACAGGGTATATTTGTATAAATATAATAATGTGAAGGCGAAAATTTTTACGGTTTTGTTATTGCTTTGATCCGAATGGCTGCTTATGCTTATCAAGCGGAAATAGAGGCTTATGCTTATAAAGCGGAAATAGAGGGTGGGGGAGCTTAAATTGATATAGAAACTGTTAAAGTGAAGACACTTTACACTGTTTTTAGGCGTAATTTTAGAAAACGGATTTTTTTTTTGCTGTTTATATATAAGAAAATAACTTGAAACCAAGTTGTTATTGTATTTATTCATAAAAGTTAAGTGCTGGTAAAAATATTTATTTCATATATATTTATCATTTGCTAATTTAAAAGTCACAAAAAGATTACTTCTTCCTAGGTTTTGGTATCCAGGAGCTCTAAAAATATAAAAAAAGCTTATGGACGACTAAGGAGAAGAAAAGGAAAAAATTTTAATGTAAGAGCAACAATTTTTGAACCCTTAGGTATAATGAATGCAAGGACTCTGGAACTCCATGCTTAAAAACAATAAGCTCCACGTCATTTTTTCTTATAGCTGATCATATATCAATGTTTAGAGCTTCTGGACACCAGAGACCAGGAAAAAGTAGAGATATAAAGATTAATGAGAGACCAGGAAAAAGTAGAGATATAAAGATTAATGAGAGACATGAAACAAATAAAGTTACATACGGACGAACTCGTTACATCATTATACACCAATAGTTTTGTTAATTTTTGATTGAACCTAATTTATATGGGCAAGTCGAGTAATTATAAAGGAAAACTTTCTTTTTATCCACAATGAGTGAGAGTTTATTTGAATTCAACAATTCATTTATTTTTCCCGATTCAAAATCCATATCAGTAAAGTGACTCGATGTCACTATTGGAAAGGAAGAGATAAATTGCTTGGTAGAAATATCAGCCAACATTAAATTTAACTTTGCTGATGCATTTTTAAAATCTTTTACATAAGTTAAAAACGGAAGCGGACCAAAAATTCACTGAAATGATCTTTATTAAAACATTAAAAAATGAATTATTCTAGGGATATGTTGCAAATTTTTAACCATTAGTAATTAAAATTATTCAACAAAAGCTTTATTAAAACTCGGTAATTAAATAGAACCACTTGATTTTAAAAGCATATGTTAGTTTAAGCTTCTTTTCTTGCTTCAAGTCATAACACAACCATGGCCTACTTAAATTACACGGCCTGATTTGTTGCATTTTCCGTAAAAAATTGAGGCCAGTTTTTTTTACGGCTTAAGTATAAAAACTTAAATTTTGTTATGGTTAAGAGTCTTGTTTGCACTATAATTGTTTTATTTTTATTTTATTAAAATGGTTTAATATTAGTTAGATTTTCTTTGATTACTTAAATTATTTTGTGCTAGATTTTCTGTTAACTGATTGCCTGCTTCAGTTTATTCCAATAACAAAGAATACTGAAATAGGCTTTCAGATAGCTATATCAACACATATTAACATGCTACTAAAAATAATCTTACATATTGCTAAAACTACCCACAACTCTCCATTGGAAATAATTTTAAAGGTTTGTAATTTTGTATTTATTATAATTGCAATTATTAAGTAGAAAACATAAACTTTTCTTTAAATTATTTACACTGCAAAACAAGGTTTTGCATTGTAAATACTTTATTATGCTGCATGTCTCAAACATACAGCAATTAAAATGTAACAAATCAGGCTATTTATTTACAGTAGCCAAGAAATATCAGGCATACCAACTGTTTTGGAGTCAATAGCTGTTAATAAAATTCTAATTTTTTTCATTGCCAAATAAATGGTTATCATTCTTCTTTATTTAAATGGTTTCGCAGTGGTAAAAAATACAAATTGAAAAACTATAATATATTAGAAAAATCATTGACAAAAATTTGGTATTAAGAGATTATTTGCTTCTTGTGGGTAAGGTGTACTTCCAAAAAGCAGCCCAAAGTGGTAAACATTTTGATGAAGATTGAGAAAACAATCTTTATAAAGAATTTGTTTTTGTTATTATGGTTGTAGGGCTTCAAAAATTTATTTTTATGTTTTGAAATCATAACCTAAAGTTTACATAACAGGTTTATGTTTGAAAAAAGAAATTGACGAGTGTATTACCTCAATGCACCAATCTGAATTTAAGATAAGAACTATTGTTACCGATAACTATTTTACAAATGTTAATGCATTTTTATAGTTTCATAAAGCATATACTGGAGATGGAAAATTATTAATTTATCATTTAGTTTAGAAAAGGAGTGTTTAAAATATACTTGTTATTTGATAAACTCGGTTTTTGTTTTTTTCTTCTTGTTGAAGTTACTGCTGATTACATACTCATACAACCTTCAACTTTTCAAGTCTTCTGTCAACCGTTTCCTTGCTCTATAACTCTGTTCTTTTTTTTTCTAGTAACTCCCAACTTAATAGTGGTTGCTTGCAGCCTTGTTGGGAGTGAATGCAAATAAAAAAAAAAAGAAAAACATTGCAGGGAATATATTTCTTAAAGTTTATTAAAAGATCACTTATTAAACAAGCAAGAAAAAGCAAGAAAAATTAATTATTAAATCACATATTTTGGCAACAACAAACAAGTTGTCAACATCGACAATATTTGACAAAACAACTGCAGCTACAACTTGAATAACTACGTTATTTCTTTTCTGAAAGAAATAACACAGCACAATTATCATTGTTTTATAAGTTATTTATCATACTTAATTCAAAGCAGAAACTTAATTCATCTAATCAAACTCAGCAATGCTGCTTTGAAAGGTGATAACAAACCCACACTTTATAGAGAAATTGCAAATTGTACTGAAATTTGATCAAAATAAAATTTGATAAATACCTAACATTAACCAAACAAACTTCTTGTGCTCTAATTACAACACTACATGCAATTGTATTTCTTATGCATGATTTCCTTGAAAAAGGCTTTACATTTGTTTATAGTTAATTTACAAAAAGATCCTTTGGAGCTAGGTTTTATTAAGTATAGTTAAATGCCCAATAGTAGACTTTTTGTGAGCCTTTTAGAAATGTGCATAAGTAAAAAGATTTTGGCAGATTTTCCCAGAAAATATTTACCAGAATTTTGATAATCCTTAAAAAATATTATGCAAGATATTGCTTAGTTGTCTACATAAATACTACTGTCAGCTTTCTGAAGATAGCACAAATATATAAAAGATATATTCTATTCTGAAGATAGCACAAATATACTAAAGCAAGTAATAATCGTAAAAATTAACAAAAAGATTTTGATGTTAAACTTATGATCAATAAACATTACTTTATAAAGAGAAGAACCTATATATTCAATTCAACCTCTGTCTAATTTTATTTGTCATCTTTTTAGTATTTTATGTTATTTCTCTTATTCTAATAAAACATTGCAGTCATTCTTTTTTAATTAAAAATTTGCGAAACAAATTTTAAAGATTTGATCTAGCAGTTTCAATTTTACAAATAAAAACCACCAAAAATGGGAATCAAATATAGATCTCGTATTGTATTGCAAATTAATATAAAAATATTATTATATTTTTTATAGTAATTTGCAGAAAAAAATTACATATTTATTTAAAAAAGATCAAGTAAAAGAATTTCAAAAAAGAAAAAATAAACATTTCTAGCAAAAATGTATTTCTTCTTTTTATTTCAATTATATAAAATACAAAACTACAAACCTTTTTTTTGCTCAATGGAGAGTTTTAGGCAATCTAAGCAACATGAGAGATTATTTTTAGTAGCATGTTGGTATGGGTTGATATAGTTATCTGAAAGCCTATTTCAGTATTCTGTGTTGTTGGAATAAACTGAAGCAGGCAATCAGTTAACAGAAAATCTAGCAACAAATTAATGTAAGTACTCAAAGAAAATCTAACTATTATTAAACCATTTTAATAAAATAAAAGTAAAACAGTAATGGTGCAAACAAGACTCTTAACCATAACAAAAATTAAGTTTTTATACTTAAACCGTAAAAAAACTGGCCTCTTAATTTTTTACGGAAAATGCAACAAATCAGGCCGTGTAATTTAAGTAGGCCATGACACAACATTTGATAAAAAAGACAACTAAAACAATTTTTAAAAAATCAAAAAAATTGTTTTCTTAGTAACTAAAGTTTAAAGTTTTATTAGCTGTATATGATAACTCCATTCATTCTTGTAGTACTCCATTCATTTAATATAAAGTTTATAAAAAAGTTGTTGTTTGCCGTTACGTTGCGCCGTTTTTAATGTTTTTCATGAATATTACTGGCGAACCTTCAAAATACTATATTTTTAAATTACTATAAACGTATCTATTTGCGTCAAAGTATAAAGATTAAGCGTTTAAGTACAGTCTTGATGTCGTTTTCTTATTGTTTACGAAACAAAAGGTTACAAGCATAGTCCCGAAGAATTTCAATGCGGTTTAACTTCCATCTGTTTTATACTTCCTTGATTATACTGATAGCAAATTTCAAACTTATTAAAAATAATCTTAAAGAAATTTTTTTTCTTCACATTTTTAAACTTGAAAATGCAACTTTATTACGTTTTCTTACGGCAAAAATGGTTTTCCATTCCTAATGTTCTGACATTCAAATTTACGCCTCCTTCCTTACGTAAGGTAAGGAAGGCGTAAATTTCCTAGTTTAATGCTTTTCCACGGTACTCTGTGATAAGACCTTAAGAACTTTTTGAAGCTCCTCGGTGTAGTTAAGGCACTTTTAAAATATTATAACGTCTGTATGATATTTTGTTGACTACGACTTATTTTCGTTAAATGGTCTGGTCTGTGAATTATGAATAGACTGGTCTGGTCTGTGAATTATGAATAATTTAAATAAGATTTTATATTAATACGTTTTTTAGGTGAAATGAACATTACAGTTTAACAATTTTATCTGTTCTGATCATTTATTGGCAATTTTCCATTAATATAAGCTCTTTCTTGGTCGGAATTCCAGTATTTTTTGTGAAAATTGATAGAAATTTTGTGTTTTGACAACTATATATAGTTAATTAGAATTAGAACTAGGATCAGTAGTAAGTTAAGGAACTTTTTTAAAAGATTTTAACTAAGTTCATGTTAATGCCGATGAGCGGAATTGATCTAAAGACTCTAATATAGAATTCTTTACGGGTAGTAAAAAGATTTTGAAAATTATATAAAGAAAAGAAAAGTTTCTTTAAATATTATAAAAACCTTAAGCAAAAAAAATTATAACATTTAAACATCTTGTTTGAGCATAATATGCTGACAAAACCATGCTAATAAAACCATGCCAAACAAAAGTATTCAAATATTTTCTAAATCGTCTTAACTACACCGAGTCTTTAATTAACACACTAACAAAATGAACACTATATAAATAATTTAGAATCAGGTTAATTTTAATAAAAAATAATTATAGGGCAAATCAAACGCAGGTCATTCAATTAACTTAACTTGTTAATTAAATAAATATAGTAAGACAAAATTCGGTTTAAAATCTTGGTAATTTATTAAAATTTATTAAAAAAATTTAAATTAACAAAATTTATTAAAAAAAGCTTGCAAATAAAGATGTTCATAAGATTTGAACTATAAACTTAAACTTTTTCGTCTCTTCTAAAATGGCACTCAATAAGTCAGGCGTCCAACATTTTATACGATGCTTTCACGCATCTTTTTTTTTCAAGAAAAGCAAATTTTTATTATACGTTAGCCAATTTAATTTTATATATACATAAGTTCGAAAGTGTTATATATAAGCAACTTGTTACATATATAATACAAATAGAAAGTAAATATTTATACACAACTATAAATATTCTAAAGAAAAAATTACATTTCAAATTAAATACTTCAAGAAGAGTCTTGCAATATTGGAATTTTATTAACGTTTTATCGTGTTGGAATATAAACTTTAAAAGAGTCAACAATATATTATAAAATAAAAACATTTTTTTATTTTAATTTTGAAAATTGTTAAAAAATTTAGAATTTTATTCATAAAAAAAGGTTTAGATTATACTATAAAATATTTTAATATTATTTTCACTATGTATTACGAACATATTGTATGAGGAAAATGAAAAACAAAAACGTTTCATTAAATAAGCTCATCATCATATATAAGTTTCATTAATACTTACATAACCTCACGGTTTTTTAAGCATTAATTAGCTTTTTGCTGTTTAAACATTAAACCAAAGAGATAAAGAGACTTCACGATGTTCTTAAATGGAACATTATATTTTACACGTTATCTAATATGTGAAATATTATAAATAAAAATTATAAATAATATTTGAAATATTAGATAAAATACTTTTTTATAATTTCATTTTAAATATTATGGTTTTGTTTTAAAAATAAAAAATTTAACATTTTTCCGATATGCAATTTTTCTCTTCGGAAAACCCAATATAATGCGGTTTCTTCTTGTTGGGAAAATAAATTGTCAAATTAAGTGTCAAATAAGACAACATTAAAAAGACATTTCTAAAAAGCTAGTCGTATAGCTGAAATCATCGTCATCAATATTTCGCCGTAAAAATACCTCTTCAATACTCTGACCCGTAAAGTTATCAGTAAAGTTAAACTGTAGCGGTGTGCTTCGGTTTAAATCTTCAGAAACCGTTATAAAATTGTCATTACTAGGAGATTCGTCATCAAACGAAAACAAAACATCACTGTTTAGAATTTGACTGAATGAATATTGCAAAGGATTGTTTTCTTCATCGTTGTTGCATAAATAAAAGTCTTCGACTGAAGTCTTTTCTTGACTCAATGTCTAAAGCATAATATATAAAAAGAATTAAAAAAAAAAATTAAAGAAAATAGAGAATTTCCAGAAAAATTTTAAAAACGATTTTTTTGAATTCAACTAATAATTACATTTAAAATTTGCTACATTAATAAAATTTACATTTTAAGTCACTAGGGTAGCCTAGTAGGTGGTTAACGGAATCTATTTATTTAAAAAGATGGCTAAAGGTTTTAGAAAACGACTTTTTGATTTTTAAATTATGGTGAAACCTAAATTTGTTATTTTTATACGATTGCAAATTAACAACCTCTTTAATAAACTTTATATGCGTAGTTATTTCTTCCTTTCAAAAAAAAGTTTTAATGAATTCCTCAAATAAAGAGCAAGTTTAATACTTAATCTAAAACTTGTAGGCTTCATAAAAAATAAAATAGCAAAGTCACTATTGTTTCTAACGCTAAAGTTTTTACAGAGCTTGATTTGTTGCCAAAGTTCTGGAGGTAAAATATGAAAAGTTCTGGAGGTAAAATATGAAATATGAAAAAATATGAAATATAAAATATGGAAAAAACGTTTAGTGTGCACAAATATTGCAAAACAAATATTGCACTGGTTAACAAAATATTTGGTGTATATAAATTTAAATTTAAAATAAACATCCTTGCTAAATCAAATCGGCCTCCTGAATTGAAAAACAACATTCATTTTGACCTAGCAGATTGTGTAATTTAAAGTCCATATTTTTAGGTATGTTATGGCCAATACTGTGTGGTTAATAAATCACTATGTATGTGTGTAAATCAAATACAACATTTAGTTCTATATTGCATTACAACATCATTTCATTCTTAATAGACTTAGCAAGTTTGGTGAACAAAGCAATATAAAATGAGTGAGATGTCATCACAAATGTGTGTGTAAACTCTGCTAATGTGTTTTGTTATTTAGAGAATATACATTACTTGAAAATTAAAAAAACATAAATTATTTTGTTAAAGAGTATATTTTAGGGTTAACCTGGGAGTGCTACAAATATATCTGCAGTACATTTCCAAGTTAATAATTGAAAAATTTAAAGTATGGAATTTTAAAGATCTGTAAGCTCTTGAAGGAGTGTTACCAACTTGATATCAAAGTTTTGTGGTAGGTTTTTATGGCTTTGTAGAAGGTTGTAAGTTTTTAAGTAAGTTGGTGTAAACATTAAAATCCTCTCTTTAGTCATCTCATTTTCCTCAAAATCTTAGAGATATTAGCGAGGAAAAAAAGAGAACAATTCGGAGCATCAAGGAGATGGAAACTCTGTGCCAAGGACATTGGGATGCTGTGATGATGACAGACTTTTGCAGGTATTTAAAACAAGACACTCCTGTTGCTAAACATTCATGGTCAGAAAAAAAAGCATAATCAATAAAATACTATGTTACAGATAAAGTTTCCCCCTAAAAAAAATAATATTAATATTGATAAATTGTTGAAAATATTTTTATAAGCATCTACTAGAGCCAAAATTTGAGATAAGAAGAGTAAGAAAGATGAATCTGATAAAAACTGAAGTCATTTTCAAATTGAACAGAAAAAATTTCAAATTGAACAGAAAAATTTCAAATTGAACAGAAAAAAAGAGCTTATGAAATATTTAAGGTGCCAGACCAAAAAAATTTTTTTTTGTTGCCCAGTGTTATAGATAATTTTATGTGACAGTTTATAATAATAAATTTTAAATAAAGTGAGTGCATTCATTAGAAAAATGAGTGCATTCATTAGAAAGTAAAAACATAAAACCAAAATTTTTTATCAGGGTAAATGTTGAAAATATCAATAAAAATAGAAATTAAGAATATTTTAACATACCAAGAAATATGAAACTAACAATATATATATATATATATATATATATATATATATATATATATATATATATATATATATATATATATATATATATATATATATATATATTTGACGTTTAAATATATTTTAAATATATTTAAAATAGATATAAAAAACAACAACCTGTGATAAAAATATTTTTTGAAGAAGTTCACTTTTATTATCTACTATGCTCATTGAAAACTGTTCTACACCACAATTTCTAAAATGTTCATCAACTAAACTAGAAACATTGCTTGTTGTTTCATTACAAATTTTCTTACGCTTTACTCCTTTACTTTTTTTTTTAGGTTGATCTGTAAGTATTACAGAAACATTAGTTGAAAGATTCTCTATGGGAGAAGAAGGAGGTGTTAATGTAATTAAACCACCAATTTGTTGGGTTTCAACTTCTCTTCCAGTATCTGGAACACAACCAACATATAAAGAATTTCCTTTCAAATTCTGTAATGAAGCAATCGGTGGAAGAGAAGAAAGATTGGGTGTAATTTTGATTGAAGAATTTAATGAGGAGCCGGTTGATGGTTTTTCTCGAGGTGCACCAAATTTTGACATAGTTGCAAATTCAGACATTTTAATACATTTATCACCAGAAACTGAAATTATAAAATATTAAAACTTATTAACTTTAACATAAAATTATAAAACATTCAAAGATAAATAGTAAATAGTAACTTTATACGTAATAGTAACTTTATACGTAAATAATTACTTTAAAAATAATGCTCATTTTTTCTAAAAAAAAATATTTAATTATTATTAGATTTTTTAAAAACTCTAATCCAATTTACCTTTAATAAGTTTTTCAGATTCTTGTTGTAAAGAAAATTGTTCTTGATTGGAAAGTCGAGTTTCAATAATAAGAAGCAAGTACTCATCCAACATCATTCTTATTAAATGGAAAGGACCTTTTGAAATTGCATCAATAAAAATATTATGTATAAATACAACAAAAACATATAGCAACATAAACAAACAACAACAAAAACAGCAAACAAAAACAACCAACAACAAACAAACAATAACAACAAACAACAACAACAAACAAACAAACAACAACAACAAACAACAACAACAGACAAACAACAATAACAAACAATATAATTCAATTATTTTAATTTTCAAAATGCTTACCATATGTTCTTGAGTTATTTAATGTCAACATATGCATAACTCTTGTTCCAAAGAAAGACCAAGACAAAAGAAACTCTTGGGCACGTAATTTAAAGGAGTGGTCAGATTCACAGTACTAAAAGCAGTACATACTTATATAAGTTATCAATAGTTATTGCAAGCCCATATAACAAGCATAAAATTTAATAATAACTATTAAAAACCTGAAGTACTTGCGCTTTAATAATTCTTTCTAACCAATCAACATACTCTTCAACGGTTGCATTTTGCTTCAATAATTCTCTTAATTCAATTAAATCTAGGTTAAATATATATATATATATATATATACATATATATATATATATATATATATATATATATATATATATATATATATATATATATATATATATATATATATGTGTGTGTGTGTGTGTATACATGCATATATATGTGTTTATATATATATATATATGCACGTGTATATATATGTATATATGTATATATATATATATATATATATATGTATATATATATATATATATATATATATATATATATATATATATATATATATATATATATATATATATATATATATATATATTATATATATATATATATATACAGTAGCTTTCATAAATTTAGATGCATTCATTTTTTTTTTTCATATATGTAAGAAAATACTCAAAATAAAAATAAAATAAAAGTGCTACCGCTATGTTTGATATATAATTTAAAAGAGGAAATGAAACTCTATTATAGAATACCTTAATTTTTTTTACAGGATGTTTATTACTCATTTTATACCGATTAACACAAAAAAGTTAATTGATAAACTTGATTTTATTTTGTTCATAAATTTAGATGCACAATTAAAAAAGTCTTATATCTTGTTAATTGATAGTTAAATAGTAGTTTTTTTTCTTATATTTCTCATTAATAGGCCTAAATTAATTGATTTTGTCAAAAAACCTTATATAAATATGACTTACCTGGAATTATTTAATCATTATTTAATAAATAAACAAAAGTTAAGTTAGTTTTGCACTAAAAAAACGTAAAAAATGGGCAAAAGACGTATCACTCAAGGTGAAAGATGGCAAATTATTGCGCACATCAAAGAAGGAACCAAAAGTAATAGAGAAATCGCCAAGTTAATTGGAGTTTCTGAGAAATGCGTTCAGACAACGAAACAAAACTTTCTTCACACTGGTGGTGCCAGCAAGAAAACGAGGCCAGGTAGACCCTTGTCAACCACGAGAAAGGACGATAGTGTTCTTTTTAGAGCTGTCAGAGCTAATCCAAGAATTAGTTACAAAGAATTGACCACAGAATTTAATACAACGCGAAATACATCTATTTCTCAAAGCACAGTCTGCCGAATACTTATCAAATACAAGATTGGAGTCTACACTGCTTTGAAGAAACCGCTTCTGCGTCCATATGATAAACAATGGAGACTAAAATGGTGTCGTGAAAGAAGGTATTGGACAATAGATCAATGGGAAAACATTATGTGGAGTGATGAGAGTAACTTTGAGCTTATCAATCGCAAATCTAACACAACAGTCAAAAGAATGGCTCACGAAAAGTATTACGCCAGGTACATTAGACCAACTGTACAAAGTAGAGGAGGCTCGATAGGAATCTGGTCATGCTTCAATTACAAAGGTGTTGGTATGTGCCAAACATACACCGGAAGAATCAACTCCAGAATATACGTAGAAGTACTGGAAAACAACCTAATTCCATCAATTGACCTGCTTATGCTCAATGATAAACCATGGAAACTTCAACAAGATAGCGCTACTGCACATACTGCATACTATACAAAGGAGTGGTTCAACGATAATAATATTATGACAATACCGTGGCCTCCATATTCACCTGATTTGAACCCGATTGAAAACATTTGGGCTTGGATTGATCGTGAATTAGCAAAGGTTCAAGTTTCCACACTTGGTCAGCTGAAGGAATTCCTTAAGGAGACCTGGTATGGGGTCCCAGAAGCTATGTGCAAAAATCTTGTTGAGTTAATGCCTAGAAGAGTTCTTAGTTGTATTAAAGCAAAAGGCGGATACACAAAATATTGATTGGTTCATAAATTACGCCTTCTAATGTATCGTGCGTCTAAATTTATGAATAATTTTTTTTGTCTAATTTTTTTAATACCATGTAGTTGTACCTAATTATTACTTAGTATTTCATTTTTTTTGTAAACTTTTTTTAAATTTTGTATTCTGTATGTATTTATCTGATAAGTAGAAAAAAAACTAAACCGAAATCTTTTTTCGTCATTGTTTTATCGTTAAAATACCTAAAATTTTCTATTCTCAAATATGAGTGCGTCTAAATTTATGAAAACCACTGTATATATATATATATATATATATATATATATATATATATATATATATATATATATATATATTATATATATATATATATATATATATATATATATATATATATACTCTTGCATGGCCATCTTTAATTTTTCCCATAAAATGTAAACAATATTTAGAAGATAAATATTTAAAAAAATACTTGTATTCTAAATATTGTATATTTATTATATATTTAAAGACATATTTTATTTAGAAGACATAGTTTAAAAACTTAAAGTGGCACTCCTTACATGTTCTATCTATTTGTAAGTTGATGAAGCAGCACTCTTTGTATGTTCTACCTTTATCTTCTAGGATTAACTCTTATATCTAGTCTTTCTTGGAAACCGTATATCAAATTCATTGCAAAAACTAGCATTTAAGGTTAATTTATGCTAAGGTTGCATCTCTTTATCAAGCTTGACACTTTCTTACTTTGAATTCTATTCTTTATCTCTATAAATCTCAAATCTGTCCTTGTATAGAGAACTGTTGCCATATTTGGGGGAGATCTTCTAATGATGCCCTTTCTTTTTTAGACAAAGTGTAAAAACTCATTATAAACATAGTTGGATCTGCTATTGCATCCAACCTTCAACCTTTGTCAAATCATCGTAATGTTGCTTCTCTTTCTCTTTTCTACAAATGGGCACTGCTCTAAAGAGCTAGCGTCTCTTGTACCATTTACTAAAATTCATTCTCGTGTTACTTGTCATACAATTAAGTTTCATTCTTTTTCTGTGACTGTTCCTAAGTGCTCCAAAAACTCTTATTCGCCTTGTTTTTTTCCTCGAACATCAGTTCTTTGGAATTCGCGTCCTTCATCTTGCTTTCCTGATTCATATAATTTGCAATCTTTTAAGTTGACTGTCAATCATTATCTTGCCCTACATCTTTTCTCTTCCAGTAACTTTCTATGCTTATAGTAGTTGCTTGCAGCCTTGTTGGAAGCAAAGATGAAAAAAAAAAAAAAAAAAAAAAAAAAGTCAAACGCTTTCTGTAAATCAACAAATATACCACATGCAAAGTATTATTCATTGATTGCTTTTCTAATCAAAGCAGTCATTTCAATGAGAGCATGAGTTGTGGAGTGATTGGCACAAAATCCATACTAATGGGTGTAAAAGCATTTAAATTTTTCAAGAAAAGCATCTATTATGCATCACCTTTTCAAAGAGTTTACCTATATTAGAAAGCAGGAAGATTATCGATAATTGGTGAAGTCTAGTAGTAGAGCCTTTTTTTAAATATTGGAATAAATTTGACAACTTTAAAAATAACTGGAAAAATACCACTTTTAAATTAGTTATTTATAACAGTACAGAGAGCAACAGTACAGAGGCTTTGAAATAATGTGTGGGACTAGTTTAAGGAGGAATGTAGGTACACTATTAGAACCAAGACTTTTTTCAGTTTTGAGCGCGTTTGTAAAAAGACCAGATATTTTAATTTTATATTTTAACTTTGTTTTTAACTGAAATAGATTTAAGTATTCCATACGTAATCCAAGGTTTTGATTTTAGTTTAATTTGTAGGTTGGTTAGTATTTTGTAAGGAGCATTTCTAATTGATTTGTCATGTCTAATAATAATGATTTTATCAAATGTTTTTTAAATAAAATTCATGGATTTATTAACATCATCATCTTTTTTCATTGCTACATAGTTTAAATTTGAGCTTAAGTATAAAAGTGCTCCGCCTTTTTTAGTTTCAGTAGGACAATGATCAATATTAAAACAGTTAATGTAAATATCAGTTATAAATATTTAGATTCTGTAATACCTATTAATAGGGAAAATTATTAAGAGAGCTGATAAGGGTTCGCCAATGTGGAATGTAGAGAAGCGATGTTAAGATGAATATATAGTTCTGAATTGGGAAGCATAGTTTTATTGAGATTAATAATGTCATAGTATTTGCAATTAACAGAACTGGGAAATTTATTTAAATCTTTAAATATATTTTTATGATTACTTGGAGTCTCAAAAGAGTTTAATGAACTATTAGATATATTCTTGCATAACAATATTGACTTAAGTTCCAAGTTGGAAATCGAGCTAAAGGCCATACTCTTAGATAAATAGCTATGACAATACAAATCTGACAAGTCTTCAGAAGAAGATTATAGAAGTGTGCATCAATATGGTTACACTTTGCATGGACCCATGCAAAGTGTAACCATATTGATTATTAGTTATATTTTTATTTGACAAGTGTTGTAGAGAGATTTAAATGCCATAATCTTTAGAATATATATATATATATATATATATATATATATATATATATATATATATATATATATATATATATATATATATATATATATATATATATATATATGTACACGCAGTATTAACTAGTTAAAGTGATTAAAGTGTGAAAGTGAGAAAAAAACAAAGAAAGTAAAAGACTAAATTTAATGATTTAAAACATGGGTAACCATTGGCGTGAGTAACAGAATATAATTTTTATAACAATATAAAGGAATAAGAACAATGATAGAAAAAATGAGTAACACTAAAGGTAATAAAAGCTATCAGTTATAAAATTAAACAATCAAAATAAATTAAACTTTGACAAACCACAAACTAATATTAAAAGTAACTATGATAACAAAAAATATTGAATAAAAAAAAACTAATAATACTATAATAATATACTATATTATTAATATATACTAATGATAATATAACTACTGTTAACTGCTACCAATAATAATATTATTAAAAAAGATAATAAAAAAATAATAAACAAAAATAAGTCAAGAACAAATAAGTTTATAAGCATGTAATATTAAAAATATATATAATAAATAAAATAACTGGATATCAGACGAGGACTAAAAATAAATACAATTAACTATAAATAAATATAATATGACAAAACAAATAATAATATAATGACTGAAAAATAATAACTAATG